CTCACTAACTCCACCCTGGAAATAAGGATATTGGGAATGGCTCTTCGTAATTAGGGTCTAGGATGAAGTGGTCTTTTCAGGGAAATGGTAGGATCAACCAAAATTAAGTAGAAATCTTATGGCAAAGTTTGTTTTTGCTGTTATCCTTTGTTACCCATACATCCATAACCTAAGAATGGGGGGGATAATGATTTATTGTAACTACAGTGTGTACACTAGTGGTCCATTAGTGCATATAGTAGGGTACACCTCACAGGAGGAGGGGAGGGCATGGAAAAAATTGGAGGAGCAGGTGGTGGAGCTTGGGCCAGCCCTTATCAGGGGGCAGGGATGGAGCACCACACTTCCAGCTGTGCTCTGCTCCTAACCCCATTCAGCCCCCAGTCTTGCTTCATCTCCAGGCTCAGATGCACCCTCACCCCCTAGCTCTGCTTAGCCCTCAGCTGCACTCCACCTCCTGCTCCATTCCCAGACAAGCTTTGCCTCTAGACCCAGTTCTTCCCTCAGCTTTGCCTTCAGCTTAAGCTTTGCTGCTGAAGAAGCCTTGGCTGTTCATTTATGAAGAGATGAGGAGAGGTGTGGATGGATTCCATTAATGGTAACATGGAGTGCAACTGGAAGAATGTGGGCACCCCTGGCATAGATTGATGGGGGGACACAGAGGATTGAAGAAGCACAAACATAAAACCCAGGCACTTCTACACCAGTCAGACCTGAGGCAACTGGTGAAGGAGGACCCAGGGGGCTACAATCTATGTGTCCCTCCCAGGCTGGGAAAGGGATGGAAATACCTGCCTCCACTCCTTCTTTCTCTTGCTCCATCCCTATTTACCTCTTTCCTGTCTACTCCCTGCTTCTTCCTCACCCCTGCTCTCCCCCTGTTCCACCTCCCCCACCCCAATCAAAGCAGCCTGGGGGGGAACAGTGGGTTGGGGGGGGGCAGCACTGGCAGCAGGGGTCCATGTCCTCTGCACTCACTAGCAGCAGCAGAGGAAGTGGAGCAATGTGGCCTCAGCTTGCTTTACTTCCCTGGCTGCATTGCTCTGTTCCCGCTGGGAAGTGCAGGGTAGTCCCATTCCTTCTCCTGTGGTGGCTCACTGGGAGAGCAAAGCAGCTGGGGTTGCCTTGCTCTGCCTCCGTCTGCCACTTCCGGTGAGTGGACCTCTTCTGATGGCACCAGTCCCCTCCACTTGTTCTTCCTACTGACTGCTGGCCACCCTTTTCTGCCCACAGCATTGGGGAGGGGGCAGTTGGCCACTCATGTCCCCCCAAATTGTAAGCATCTAGCGAATAATGGGCTTATAAGTAATGACTAACTTGGATTTGTCAAGAACATATCAAACCAACCTACTTTCCTCTTTTGTCAGGGTTACTGTCCTAGTAGATGGGGTAGACATGAGATATCTAGATCTTTAGTAAGGCTTTTGATACAGTATTGTAAGCAAATGAGGGAAACATGGCCTAGATGAAATTATAATAAAGTGGGGACACAAGTGTTTGAAAGACTATAATCAAAGAGTAGTTATCAATGGTTTGTGTTCAAATTTGGAGAGCTTGTCTGGTGCGGTACTGCAAGAGTCAATCCTGGGTCCAGTAAATTCCGATATTTTCATTCATAACATGGATAATGGTTTAGAGAGCATGTTTATATGACTTTGTGGATTATACCAAGATGGGAGGCATCACAAGCACTTTGGAAGAGAGGATTAGAATTTTACATGGCCTTGACAAATCTGACAATTGGCATGAATTCAAAATGAAATTCATGAAGAAGGACAAAGTAGTATACCTAAGAAGATAAATGAAAGGCACATCTACAACGTGCAGTTTAACTGGTTAGTCTGTAGTAGTACTGCAGAGAAGGATGAGGGGTATTGAATGAGTCAATAAAATGTGGCGCAATTGTGAAAAAGACTAATATTCTGGGATATACTAATAGGTGTGCTATATGCAGGAGATCCGAGGGTATTGTCCCACTCTACTTGACACTGCTGAGGTCTCCGTTGGAATGCTGTGTCCCATTCTGGGCATCACACATAAGAAAGATCTGGACTCTCTCCAGTTTGTCTACAGCAATGGAAGTGATGAAAGGTTTAGAAAGCCTGACCTGTTGGGAAAGACTGGCAAAATTGGGCACGTTTAGACCTGAGAAAAGAAAACCGAGGGAGAACCTGATAATCTTCAAAAGTGTTAAGCTGTTATAAAGAGAGCTATTCAATGTCTACTGAAGGTAAGACAAGGGGCATTATGCTCTCTCTAGCAAGGAATCCCCGTCATTGGATGTTTTTAAGAACAGGCAGGACAAACAGCTGTTATGGTTGGTTTAGGTTTATTTGTTGTTGCCATAGTCCAGGGAGCTGGGCTAGAAAATATATCAAGTTCTCTTCTCCTCTCCTACATTTGAGTGATTCTATGATGGGAACTCCATCCTTTGCCCTCTTTGGTGCAAGTATTTGACCTTATTTTCTGTCTGTCATGGGGATGCTCTTAGGGTTTCTGGGGCCCTATGCAGTACTATTAAACTGGTGCCCTTATCCCAGACAATAGGGGGGAGGTTATGATTTTTTTAGAGATGTGATTTTTATAATTTTCAGCAACACACTAATGAAATATTTTAAAGAAGAATTTAAACTAAGGTCCTGTAGACTAGCACAGTAAATTCAGAAATGGACACTATGTATTTGGGGTTGGCAAATACATTTTAAATGGCTTCATTACCACTTGAATGGCTCTTTCACAGTTCAATTTTCTGCTAATAGTCTGTCATGTTTTTTCTCTTTAAAGTTTACTAGATCCTCTCCTGGAGGAAGCATAACCAGAAGCTAGGGATAGAAAGAGAGGGCAGGTGGACATTAAGACCCACTGGTGCCCCAAATTTTGATATGCTCTATGCAGCTGCATATTCTGTGTAAGGATGGCCCTATCTGTCACTTACCCTTTCCATTCAGATGATATCTCTATATGAGAGACCTACAGCAGCCTCCTTTCTAGTGTAGTTTGTCAAGCATTTGTTGAGACATATAAAAGGAACAAAGCCACCATGGAACATAGCTACATGCTATAAATCAAGTCCAACTTTTTGTAATTTTTACCTCATAAAACTTATATTTTTTTCTCTGAACAGCTGGCACAAGTCCCATAGTACTAGAGAGGTATATGAGAGAGCTGGAGTGGCATTGTCCATTTTTCCCCCTCTGTATATTGTATGAGTTGGTAGAAGTACAGCAAAGGACAATCTTCATCCTCCCTTTTCTGGGGTGAAACCCTGGGCTTGCTGAAGATTTGAAAAATTCTAATTGACCTCAGAACAGGGCTGCCAAACTTCCAGAACTGGCCTGAAGTCTGCAGGAATTAAAGATGAATCTTTATTTAAAGATTGTCATATGCTGAAAGCTCCAGGAATAGATACAACCAAATTGGCAATTCTACTTCAGAATAGCCAGGATTTCATCCTGGGTGAAAGCTATGTGAATCTTTGTTGTTTTATTTGTTTAGTGATCTGGATTATCAGATTAGATCATCTTTATAGCAAAACAAGTGTCCGATTCAAGAGTGAATGAATATAGCAGGTATTAAGTGAGTGTAACAGAAACTGTATTAAGATTCTGAGCATGCGGAGTAGGAAGCAGACATTTCCAGATCCTGAAGCAGACTTGGGCTGGGTTGACATTCAGCTAAAGCAAATGAGCCAATTTACCAGAATACCGTGCCTTAGTGAGCATTCGCTACACTTTAATAGTACTGTTCACATAAGTAAGGGCTTCAGGACTGGGTTCAGGATGTGTGAGTGATTTTTTTTTAAGCCCTTAGTAACTTTACACTCTTCCAGTTGAGCTTTGCTAAACACATTGCTGTTCTGAACACACAGCTATAATAGCTGTTGAATGTATGTTGTATGTCACAGAAAGCATCTTTTGTAGGTTGTACATCACAGAAAGCAAGTTCTCTGACCAACAGAGCCAACAATCTCATTGGGGACCAAGGAAAGGTGGGGGGTGGGCACTGCTCCATGCCCCTGGAAGGGGTAAAGTCTTGGGTGGAAGGTGTGGGTTTGGTGCTAGGCAGCCCTCAGTACCACCTGGAGAGCAACGTGCCTTCCCCAGGCAACTCTCAGTGCTGCCCAGAGTGTGCCATGTGATTCCCATGGAAAAGATTTAAAGGGCCCGAGGCTCTGGTGTTTAATCTTCCATCTCATTCAAAAGCACCTGAAATACCCCTTTGTTTCTGAAACTTTCAAAACACCTGTTTTCATTTTCATCCTTTAGCTAGAAACCAAGTTCTCAGACACTTGTGGATCTTCTTGTAGACCCACTTGTTTGGGCCTCTTTGTAGTTATCACTCCGCTCCCCCTGAAATATTGAATTAAAATTACACGCTGTTATGTTATTTTATTAACTGTAAACAGGTTAAAGAGGAGATACCTTGCAGACTAGCTGGGGGAGGATAGAAAAAAAGAAATGGGGGTATGCTGATTAGCACCAGGAATAGAAGGAAAGGAAGAGAAGGAAACATCAGCAAGTGGGATGAACCACTAAACAACTTCTCATTTGTGAAAACATGAAATGGCTGGAAAAAGAAAACCGGGATGTAGCCCCTTGTGAGGGGGCAACAGCTAGAAGAGGAAAGAAATCTCAGAAGAAGCTTCCCAGTGAGGTCAGAGAGAAACAACCTGAATAAAGGGACCTGAGACGGCCTCCAGTTGGGGGGAGCAGCAACAGCCCAGTCCTCTGGTCTGGAGTTGTTTTAGCAATTGGGCTGTCGTGCTTATTTGATTGAAAGAAATGTATAAATATGCTATTTGAAGACATCACTTATTAGGGAAAAAGCAAATGAAGACCAGTGGAAATTTGTATAGGTTAGTGTAATCTTTTTTTGCATGAGCTTTAGAACAGCTGACATCTGAATCAACAATATGGTGCACAAGTTGTCAATGCCTTTCCAAAAGATAGCTATCAGAAAGGATTCATGGTTTTGAAAGTTTAATCAAAGGGCAATTACGTTTGATCAATCCCAGAATGATAGCAGGATAATTGGCTATGCCTGAACCTACTCTGTCACTGTCATAGTACATCTTGATATAATGTGTTCAAAGTTGGGTGGATGTGAACACAGCAAATAACCGTGCTATCTTTCATAGCTCAATGTGCCAATAAAATGGTGAAGTATGAATGAAAGTGCCAGAATGAAAGAGAGATTGCACAGTATTTCATGCAAGATAAATGGCAATATTGTCAGGAGAAGCCACAGCAATTAGCAGTACTAATAAAACAATTCCTGTAAGGAATATGCCCAACTAGGATCTGGAACAGTACTGTCTCTCCCTGGGAAAGATGAAAGGTAACCCGCAAAGCCTTTTTTTTTTAAAACCATATACAAAGAAGACTTGAAAAGTTTATGCCAGAGAAGCTTTTGCTACCTGTTTTTACTTTAGAAATTCAAATAATACCTACCCTGGAAATCTCTATAGTGATTGGGAGATGGTGAAATAATGTAAGAACCAAGAGACTGAAAATGAATGGCTAGAAGGAGAAGGGGTTTGTGGTTGGAAGGCTTAAAATAGAGTTGGCAAAATACTTGAACTTACTGAATGCAAAGTTGAACAACCTAAAATTCACATTGATGTATGGAGAAGAGAACACTAAAGATCTTTAAGCTACCAATGCAATGGATGTAAGGCTCTGCCTGTGGATTGCAGAAACTTGCTGATCACAGCAAAACTGAAAGTACTGTTGTGTCCTGTGAAATTGATTTATTTTAAACCTAGTAAAGGTGTGGTCTCTGAAACAACTGATACTCTTTAATTTCTAAAAATGTAAAGTGAAACATGGATTAAAAATGTCTGAGGCATATTAAACCTATAAAAAGGGAATGGAATAATGCATAGGCATGATGGTCCCATTCCTTGGCCCTACTTTCTGGAGTCACATGATGTGATAAGAATTCAGGTTTAACCTTTATGGTCTGGACCTCTATAGTCCAGCAACATCTGTGGTCTGGCATTCCCATGGGTGTTCCTGGGCTGGAGCACTCACAGGGAAAAGCTGGGGGGAGAGAGGGGAAGGAAAAGGTAGAAGGTGTGCTCAGCAACTTTTCCCCTGTCCTCCCAGAGCTTCCAAAGCACCACAAATAGATCACTTCTGGTGCTCAAGATCAGGGAGGGAGAGGGAGGACCAGGAATGGGGGACACTCACAGGAAGCAGCAGAGTGGCTGTGGAGCCCCATAGCCAGAGTCCAGGAGCGCAGCCCCATAGCCAACCCTGGGATCTGGGAGCACAGCCTGGCTTGGATTTCAGTTAAGATAAATGAGGCAATTCATACCTATTGTAGCTATTGTTTCCTGGTTGCAAACTGAGACAGAAGCTGTTACAGTCAGGTGATATTTTCAAGCTTTTCTTTACATCTGTGAGAACTAGAAACATTTAATTTTGAAAGAAGCTAACAGAGGTTGTACCTCCCTAGTCCAGCACCCTTGGGACCTGACCAGTCCCAAATCAGGGAATCTGCCAGACCAGGGGACTCAGTGTGCTCTCCCAGAGTTTTGCTCCTGGGCTCTGCATCCACACTACGTCTTCCCCCAAGTGTCCCTCCACATGTCCCTGCTGTCAATGTTGGCTGTTTTGCTGATGCTGGAGCTTCTGGTAACAGCAGATAGGCCTGCACTGACATCCCCTGATCTCTATTAGCTTCTTTTAAAATTAAATGTTTCTAGTTCTCACAGATGCAAAGAAAAGCTTGAAAATGTCACCTGACTGTAACTGCTTCCTGTCTCAGTTTGCAAACAGGAAACAATAGCTTCAATAGGTGTGAATTGCCTTATTCATATTAACTGAAATCCATTACCACACTGTGGAGGCGCAGGGTCACGGCAATGAGGGCTGTGCTTGAGGTACCCTGTGGTTGGTGCCTATAACAAGGGATTGCTTTATTTCATCCTTGCCTATAAGTTAGGTGAAGAAGCAGACAGCAGAATTACATAGCTACAAAGATACCTTGTAGTAAAATAGATTAAATGTAACAGTCTGGCTTAGGCCTACTCTGTGGTACAAATGGGGCCGAATAATGTCTGGCTGCACACTACAGTTGTGGAGAGGAGATCTAATATTGCTACTTTGGGGTTCCCAAATTGAGGTGGAGCGATTGATGGGATCCATATCCCGATCTGTGCACCTGAACATTGAGCAGCTTAGTGTATCAACCACAAGGGCTACTTCTCAGTGGTGCTGCAGGCCCTGGTCAATCACCGTGGATAGTTCATTGACGTTTTTGTCAGGTGGTCGAGCAGGGCACACGATGCCCACATTTTTTGGAACTCCAGCCTCTACGAGCACATTCTTGCTCTGCTGTGACTTGTGGCTGGCAATGTGCAGATGCCACTGTGCATGATGGGGGGCGTGGCCTACCCCCTGATTCCGTGGTTTATGAAGCCTTATAACAGCCACCTGGACCCCAGCAATTTAATGCCCACCTCAACCAGACCAGGATTTAGGTCGAATGTGCCGTTGGCCACTTCAAGGTGTGGATCAGGTGCCTCCTGACCCACCTGGACGTGGGGGAGCACAACATCCCCGAGGTGGTGTCGGCATATTGTGTCCTCCACAACATTGTGGAGAGGAAGGGGGAGGCCTTCCTCCTGGGGTGGTGGGCAGACGCCAGCCACGCGGGGAGACCCTCTGAGCAGCTATGGACAGCTGCTATCCACCAGGCCCATCAGGGCAGGAAGTGCATCTGGGAGGCCCTGAGGGAGAGTTTTTCTCACAAGGACCCCAGTAACTCTCCCCAGGGCCTCCCCGCTATTGGCCTCTGGCTTGCTGCACTTTCCATTTCCCACCACAGCCCCTCCCTTCATCCCTTCCCTGACCTCCCAGTAAAGACACCTGTTTGGTTTTGAACAAAATGAACTCTGTATTGATCTTTCATTTAAAAAAGCGGGGGAGGGGCGCTCATAACCTGGAGCGGGAGGAGAGCTTGAAGTGGCATGGGGGGTGGCTGAATGTGCCACCTTGGATGTGGGGACCTTGTTGGACTTGGGCTTGGGTGGGTCCTGGAACCACAGGAGTGTGGGCAGGATGGGGGGCTGGAATGCGGCCAGGGAAGGCAGGGAGTGCAGGGGAAGGGGGCATAGGTATCACTTGGTGTGGCCACCAGGCCACCTGTGTTATTTCTTGGAGGCCTCTTCTTTCAAAAGAAAATCTTCTTCTCCATCCACACATGCCTTTTTCCAAAAGAGCTCTTTCGGAAAAAGGCTTCTTCTTCCTAGAAAGAGGATTACCACTGTTGGAAACACACCTCAGTGTGGATGTAATTAAAGTTTTCTCGGGAAAATGTCCATTTTTCCAAAAAAAACTCTGGAGTGTAGACATAGTCTGTGTGCGCCAGGGTTCCTATTGTTGGGGTTCTGATGGGCACGTGAAGGAAAGGTAAACTGTACGAGGGACCTGTACTCATTCATTCAGAAAAGAAATGCATATGCAGCGGCAGCCCAAGATATCTGTCGCTATATATGTCCATAGCTTTTCTTTGACTTTGTGCATGTGTGGTGAGGGGGAGTAGAAGGCTGGCAGTGTGAAGGGACTATGGAAGCTGCACCATCGCCTTATTCAAACTATTTGCCGGGCAAACGATTTGTTGCTTATTGCACAACTGTCATGAGCATTGCTTATCTGGCTAGGATTAAAAAAATATTTTTTTTGGCCACATTTGGAGACTGATTTCCCTGGTTGTACTGCCAGAATATTTTTGGGCCTTGATCTGAAATGCTGTGCAGGTTGCATTCATGAGAATCAGCGGAGCATAGCTCATAAAATCAATAGCTTCAGGGGGTAGCCGAGTATTAGTCTGTACAGGATAAACTTAAAAAACAACAAACAGTCTGGTAGCACTTTAACGACTAACAAAACATGTAGACGGTATCATGAGCTTTCGTGGGCACAGCCCACTTCTTCAGTGTCATCTGCTGCTGCATATGTCATCTGAAAAAGTGGGCTGTGCCCACGAAAGCTCATGATACCGTCTACATGTTTTGTTAGTCGTTAAAGTGCTACCAGACTGTTTGTTGTTTTTTAAGTTTATCCTGTACAGATTATTTGTTGTTTTTTAAGTTGTTGATAAGATCAATGAAGTGTGATACATTTTTCTGTGTTTTACTGCTAGCGGGTTAGAGCTACTGCATTTTTAAGATTCCATTTTATGTATTTTTTTAATTATGGAACCTATTTCTAAGGGTGTCTCTCTCTTTCCAGGCACTTACAATATTTTTCAGGGGTGCTTGTGACAGGGCGTTCACCCTGCACTGGCCCTTAAAGGGCAAACCCCAGCCTGGAGCAGGGCCTGGGAGTTTAGCCCCAGCTGAGGCTCCATTAGTGGATTAGGGCCCAGCTGGGAGCTATATAAGAGCATGGGCAGTTGCTCCCAGGGAGAGCAGTAAAAGCCTGGCTGCTGGGGGAGTAGGAGGCTCCCTGGAGCTAGGGCAGGGCAGGGCGAGGCGAGGGGAGCTCTGGCCAAGCAAACCCCCAGACTGCAGGGCCTGAAGAACGGCCCCCTGGAGAAACAGCTACCCCTGGAAGGGGGGCTCAGAGACTGACTTGGGCAGTGTATGGAAGAGGATGCCGCGGCCTGGAGGAAAGAGGGGAAACACCACCTGAGGGAAGGTACCCCGCCAGCCAAAGAAGCTAATTTCTAGGACAGACGGCAGGGGGTGCTGCGGTGGTGAGTGAACCCCCTCACAATGCTGAATTAGTATCAATGACAGCTGAAGATATGAAAATCTTAACAGTTTTTTGCCTTGGCCCCTAATGTTTTATAATATGATTGTGTGCATGTTCAAGTACATACAGATCATGTGTTTCCAAATGAACATGCTGGATAACTAAAAACATAAAGTTTATGCAGAAGATGATATGATGAGACTGGTTATAATGGTATGTGACCTATCTGAGACTACTAGTAGCAACTATCTTCAATAGCTAGAGATTTGACACTAGACATAGAAGAGTCCCAGCTATGGAGAATTCTTTCCTAGGTGTTTGGCTGGTGGCCCAGATGTGGTTCATCAGCATTAGCCCCAGGTAGGGTGTCCAGCACTTTGTTTACCTTAATGTTCACAGGTATGGCTGCTCATAGCTCCTATTTAGTTGTGGTTTGCCATTCCCAGACAATGGGAGCCATGGGAAGCTGTGCATACCTAGACTGCTTATTGCCCATTCCTGATCTAACTGATCAATGTATTTGGAGTCAGGAAGGAATCCTTCCACCCAGATCAGATTGGCAAATACAATGAGGATTCTCATCTTCCTCTGCAGCATATGGGGAATGTATAACTTGAGTACATGGTGGATTCTCTGCAACTTAAACCATGTGTTTAGAACCATGTCTTTAAGCCATCATTTGAAGATTTCAGTAATTCAACCAGAGATTTTGGGCCTTTTACAGGAGTGAGGTTCTGTGATGTGTAGAGGGACAAACTAGCTGATTTCTTCTTGCCTTAGTCTCAGAGTCTATATTAATTTTGAGAAATAGACACAGAGTTAGGTATTTCTCTCCCAGAATTTTTTTATTTTTGGGTGGGTGAGGTAAAGAAGCGGGGTAAACAATAGGAGTCTTTGCCATTTACCCGTCTTGTTGAAATCTGCCAAGCGTTTTTGCTACCTTTTGTACCATTGAAAACATTCATTGCATAGCAAGATCCTTTTCTGTAACAATTTATTCTGTTAAAATTATTCTGGTTTTCTGTGTGCTCACAAACATAAAACAGAGCTATGCATTGTGTGTGGTTCACTTGTTTAATGTTTGAGTGACAATGAATTTAGAGCAAGATATCAGAAAATGCTTGTGTTGGCATTGTGTGCATTTAATAGTAGTTTCACAAACCCTTTGTAGTGGGAAAGTATCAGGTGTCCCATTTGTTAAGTGTATATACAAATATATAGCTAGTTTCTTTTTAAGTATTTATCTTTTTTGGTTTTAATAGAGACAATTAGCCTACGTGAACTATTGACCGGGATCGAATCAATGAGTAGAGCTTTGAAGCATAAGACAAGTGAAAACTATGCATCTGCCAGGTAAAACTTATAGTAACTGGCTAAAAGACTATGAATATCTACTTCTACACTTCATCATTTATTCTCCTTCCCTTCGCAATGATATATATGAAAGTGATCTTGCCTATGGATAACTTTTTTAAAATGAATGTTCATTGTAAATTACTTAAACTTCAGTAACTAATGGGTCTTATTAGTGCTTCTGAATTAATGGAATTCTAACAAATCTAGGAAAACAAGTCTTTTTTGCCTGTAAACAGCACTAGATTTATCTGGAGTAGCTCCGGTCCTTAATTAAATTAATTTTGGGGGTTCTTTTGGAAAATAAAATGAAAATCTATGGTGGTGGTGGTAGGGAGGTGCCCCCAGCCAGCCCCTTTCACTTGCCTGATTATAGTTTTTTTTTCTGGCTTTATGAGAAGCAACCCCATTCCAGGCACTTCCCATTTTCCTACAATGATGAAATCCTTGCTGTGATTTAAGTTATGCTATGAGAAAGCAGTATACTGAATTTGGTGGTCCTAGCTCTTACCATTTAAGAGAAGTTCTTGAACAAATAGAGATACACAGAGACAAACTCTCAAATATATAGTAGACTACATATATGGAATCATCGATACCTCACAAGGACATTAGTTTATATTCAAGACTAAGATCTTACTGCACATGTAGGATAAACTCTCTTCAGTGATATATGCTACAGACTTCCATTTAAGAGGGGTTTGAGCCTGACTGTTTATACAAAATGCCTACTTTATGGTCCTGTTTTATCTCCCATTGAAATTAATGGCAAAACTCGATTTAACTTCAGTAGTGGTCAGAACTTACACAGTAAAACATTACATTGATACACAGAAACAAGAACTGTAAGGAAACATTTTTATTAACTTCACAGCATATATCTCAGTGGACTCTTTAAAATGTCAGAGATAGATTTTAATGATTCTGCAGGCTTTCCATAGCTTCATTTTTGTTTGTCTCATTGAATGCTAGGATCTTAGAGCTGACCCAGGACTCTGGTCAGTAAAGTACTACAGGTTGGACCTCACTGGTTCTGAACGAGGGGATTTGCCGGAGCAGGGAAGGCCCCTCTCCTCGTGGCGTGCTGTCACTGGGCTAGGGCTCCAGCCTGTCCAAGCTACTGCCTCAGCCCCCTGGTGGTCTCCTCGGTCCTGCTGCTGCCGGGGCTGGAGCATCATGGCCAGAGCTGTGCAGCTGCCTGCTCTGTAGCTGGGGTGGAACTCCACAGGTGCCCAATTCCACAGCTGGGGCCAGAGCTCGGCGACCGAGACATAGGGATGGGGCCAGACCTCTGTAGCCTGGGCCAGGGCTCCTTGGTTGCCACTGGGGCTGGAGTTCCCTGACCATTGGAGCCAGAATGCAGCTGGAACTCCGTGGCCTGGGCCAAAACTCTCTGGCTGGGGCTAGAGGTCCAGGCTAGAGCTCCCTGGCTGCTGTGGACAGGGAGCTCTGCTTGGGCCAGAACTCTGTCCATCCTTCCCCCTCCCCGCCCCCCACAGTCTGGGCTCCCAGCTGAGTCGCCAGTGCCCCTTGCGGCACTCCTGCCCCACTGCCAAACCTCCCTTGTTCTGGGCTCTGTGGTCCAGGAACATCCAGACCACGGACATTGCCGGACCAGTGAGACCCAGTTAAGGGAGGTACAACCTGCTGTTTCCTTTAAAATGGACTTAATTGAGAGATGGGTGCTGAATGGCTTATGGGCATGGGGGCTCATGAGCTAGTGAGAGCAAGCAATCCAATCCATCAGCTGGGACCAGTTAGAGGAATGAAGTACAAATATGAGGGTGGCAGGGACTAGGGGGGATACAGATTATCAGAAAAAGGAGATCTTTCCCTCTTCCTCCTAAGAAAATAGGCAAAAGGAGAAATTTATTCCCATTTTAACATTTCTGCTCAAGGCTGTACCGATGAACTGCTGAAGGGGCTCCAGGATATAACATTAAGAATCTTGGGTTAACCAGCACAGTCATTAAGTATGGTATAAATCTGGAAAGCATCTATAGGTTGAACCCCTCTAATTTGGCACTCTCTGGTATGGCAACATCCATGATCCAGCATGATTTTAGTTAGCTGGATATTTCTTATCATCGATGTGACCAAGTTTCCCATGGTCCCATAAAGTTTTATAGCCACCAGTTCTGGCTCTCAGTGTTCTGTGTTATTTGGCTCTAATTTACCCTAAGGCTACATCTAGACTGGCCCCTATTCCTAAATAGCCATGCTAATTTCCAACTTTGGAATAGGGAAATCCGCGGGTGATTTAAATATCCCCCGCAGGATTTAAATAAACATGTCCGACGCTTTTTTTCCTGCTTGAGGAAAAGCCGGAAAAAAGCGTCTAGACTGGCGCGATCCTCCAGAATAAAGCCCTTTTCCGGAGGATCTCTTATTCCTACTTTCCTGAATGCGTTGAGGCAGGCTTCCCTAATGTAGACATGCTATCTCAGTATAGAGCCCCGAGAGGCACTGGGGAGAAATAACTTAGAATGGCCCTGGTGAGGGGCTATTTTGAAATGGCCACAGTAGAGTATCTACACAGGCCTTATTTTGAAATAGCTATTTTTAAATAGCATTATTCCTTGTAGAATGAGGTTTACAGATTTCAAAATAAGCTGAAATAATTTTGAAATAATGGAATGGCTGCGTAGACATTTGCATTATCATTTCGAAATATATCTTGCTATCTCAAAGTAGCAGTGCAGTGTAGATGCGCCCAAAGAGAACACTATAAAATGTGTCACAGCCCCAGCCCTGACGCTGAAGCATGGGAGCACTGGTCCGTAGGAATAGCACAAGGCTGAGGCTACGCCACTCTCACCCTGGATCAGGAAGGCCCTCCCTGCATCAGAGCCACTAGGCCCAGCACTGGGCAGTGGGTCTGGGGGACACCAGCAGAGCATGGGCAGGGACCGGTGAGGCAGTTTGGGAAGGCAGTACCTTCCCCTTCCTAGGATACCTGCTGCCCATGTATGTGTGCACAATTAAAGGCCAAGTAGAGGCCTGGCTGAAAATTACTCCTATTAGCTACACAAAGATTTTGGGATTGATTGTGATACTTATGGTTTGCACCATGGATGAGCATCCTAAACTAGAAAATCCTTGGGAAAAGTTTGCCACCGTTTCTCTAGCTTCCTAAATATAGATACTCCATGATTTTCAAATACGTCTGGCATTCCTTGACGGCTCCTCAACAAATCCAAAATCCTGGCGAATTTTTTTAAGTTATTGTAAGACACTTTTGGTCAAAACTTGATTATAAAGTTTGATCTTATATTGTGTTACTTTCTCTAACCTCTTCACAGAATGTCTGAACATCCAAATGATCTTGTATAACTTTTACCCAAAAGAGTTATTTAAAAATTCATAAACAACACTGTTGAATGCAAAACATCATGCTCTCATTAAAGTGCAAGGCAAAGTTACTTTAGGGATGTAAAAAGAAATGGGCCCTGTTCAAAAACATTTTGAGTGAGCTGTAAGGAAAATGAAAGACTTTACCATTTTCAAGAAATCAAATTATATCTAAAATCTAGGCAATAAGACATGCACAGGCAGTTTGTTTCTGGGTGATAATAGTTTTCAATACATGGTGTTATAAGGCATGTGGCTGAGGCTGAGTACTTTTAACACCAATGAAATGTATCAGACATATAGAACTGCACTTACAAGAGAATCTTGATACTAATATGAAAACAAATTTGTAAAATTAACCAAATAGATCTACGAATGCTCTCAATAGTACTGATATGGGTGTAACAGCATTAACAAAGAGCCAGGCTCCATTTGTGTCCTGAATCCTATAGTTCCATCTAAATTTTTGTGTAAATATCCTAAGGCCAAAATATACACATACAGTAGTATTGGTACCCTCCTTTTGCACTTTCTATTGGCTTGTTGCTGATAGCTGGATGGTCATGTCTCTGGTTACACATTAGGCATGAAAATGCTGCTCTGGGCTTAAAAAGCCTCTTCTGTTACTAGCTATGGGGATTCCTGGTACATGCATTTGCATGCCAACATCCATGATTGAATCAAGGATACTCTTGTACTGGTGCTCTTGCCACACACAATCATTTTATATTAATGCTGGGAACTGAATTCTGTGACAAACATGCACTGTGTGGTCATGTAGCTTTTACATAGTTCTCAATCTGTAAAACTAAATGGTAGCATAGCAATGTTGATTAAAATGAGACAAATAAAATGGGTGCAATGTTTGCTTACTGGACTGAGACTGAAATCATAGATTACTGTGATCAAGTTCATGCTTTAATTAATTCAGAGAACATGTGAATAGCTGAGCAGTGAATATCTCCCCAAACTGAATCAGACTAGAATGTACATTTTTTAATGTCTGAAACATGTCCCATGCAACAAAAGGCTTAGTAATAAACTACACTGCATATAACATCTAAAATTAATGGGATTCTTCTGGAAAAAAAACAACCTGGAATAGAGCAGAAGGTAGTTTGGCAGTGTTGGGGAGGAGAACAGAGGGATGGAGAAGCCCAAGGTCAGGATATTCCCACTCATTTGTTTAGGAGGGGATGTTGTAGGAGGTTGTTCTTCTCCTCACAGTGTTACCTGAGGCTTAGCTAGCCAGCACAAGGAAATAAGGGTACATTTTATAGCTTTGGGCAGTCACACAAGCCAGGCCATAGTTTGGCTCATAAAGAGGAGAATGACTCAACAATCAGTATTGAATGATATGGGGCATTTTCTATTTTAAGTAATTTCTCTTTTAGTGATTATGATAGTCTTGCAGAAAAGCCAGTCTTACAGTCTCATATGGACACTACAAGATCCTCCTCTTCTCTGCCAATATGCATAAACTCTGTGATATCCTGGTTTGACACAGTAACTGTGTCTCTTATGCTCATTCACTCCTTGGCTTCTCTATTGGCACTATCAAAAGGGTGTCAGTTGTGTTTGATTTTTCATGATGTGGAAAGCCAGTCCACAAGGAGCTAGAGAGCTTGGACTGAATCCATCTACTTATTTCACATTGACACCAAGCAGCTGTTGGGTAGTAATAACTTTAGGGCACAACAGATTGGGAACAGAACAGCTAATCTAGAAATTAAAAACTCTATCACATTAGTAAGTCCCAAAGCCACCCAGTTCCCTTGAAAGAGGATTACTTAAAAAAAATTCTTCTTAAATAATAAACACTGAAAAATTATCATTTATACTGTATAGTAGTTGATACTTAAAATTATGATATGTAATATAGGGAATATATAAAAGGTAAATAATGTGAATTTATCTTGCATTTTCAAGTTGGGCCTTCAATTTACCCAGTGTTTCCACATGTGTACATGATGACATTCCTAGTCTTCAGATGCAATACAAAGGTAAACATTGTTCTTTTTAATGGCATTATATTTTTCTCTCATTATTTTGTGTTTATTATAAAAAAGTTCTTTCTTTTGTTTATATTTTGAATGCTATGAAAAAATATTTTGAAGCAATATTTTACTTGGAGTTTAGAAGTTCCTTTTACCTTTCACCAGAAATAAGGAATTTTAAAAATTAATCTTGGCTAATTAATTCACTGTAAACCTAATAGTTTATGTATTCCAAGTATATCATCGAGTTGCTATCCTCTGAAATACCAGTGATCAAGCTTTGCAAATTGCTTGAGTATTGCACATGTTGTTAGAGCCTGAAGAAGGTTACTGTATAGCCTGGTCCTGAATCAAAAAGTGTGGTTGGTTTACCTGCACCAGTGCTCTGCTCCCTGTCTTTCTCTTGCAACATATTGTACGCATATGCGCTATATATATATATATATATATATATATATATATATATATAAAAGAGTCTCTCACCGCGCGCAAGATGGCT